AGAGCTTGTTTAAATCAGCTTTCCGTGAAAAATGGCACTGTACATTACGTTTCTGGGGCGAGATGACTCAGTGATTAGAGCGCGAATTTAATGACCGGAATGCCCCCGTTGACCTCTGTCTCTCGACTTCCCCTGTCTGGGTTTGGGCAACCTGGAAGTGTGCCAGCCCTTGTGCTTCCTTCGGGTGGCATGGCAACTAGGCACTGAAAGGGTGGACCATTCCTTTGTAGGTGAAGGAGAACCTGTAAGCTCATGCATACACCGATTGGTATGATCGTAATGGATTTTGTATGACACGACAGAGTACTCATCGCCCGACACAAGAAGCCCTAAACCACAGACGTTAAGTTTTGGAATCAAGGTAATCAGATCGATTATTACCGAGATCTAGAGATACCATATCACAAAAGACATACTTATCGGGTGGTTGGAACGACCTGCACACTTGAATTTGCTTCCAGTCACCTGGGCCGCTGAAAATTCAGGACGGGATTAGAAAGGAGACAGAATAGGAAGACGTAATGTACGCTTTAATCGTCTAATAACTGTAGTACATGAGCTGAAAATAGAGTAAGAATCACGAGTTAATGGGTTATGCAAATGTATGGGTTATATAGTCATGACATGAAGCAGAGAGGATGTGTACACCGTTAATCGAAAGCAGTGAGGAAACCTCATCTAGGCTATTCATCTGGGCTCATCATGGTCATCTGACTATGTTAGATAAGAAACCAGAACCGATTAAACTGGTTTCAACGACGCCATCTTGTCATACAGATCGAAGAGCTAGTCTGTAAGTATTTTCCTAATAGCACATTACTCATGAGGTTGCTGAAAACCCACGACCGGTTCCACCCTTCTTGGGGCTTCTCAGATTGGTGCAGCCCTGTCAAAATTATGTCCTACTTGAACCCGATTACGTACATTTATGCATTATATCAAACATCCTCACACTGATTCGCACTCGGGTAAGGGCTGGATTCCTCTTAGTTCTTTGGCCAAGAAACAAGTCAAAGTGATTGTGTTTGAACTACACTCGTAGTTGTAAAAACTATGCATGAAACACATGCGGACCGTTCAAGTGTAGCACAAAAATTTCCGTGCCCTGCTGCTGGTTTTATACAAGGCCTCCACATGGTAGCCCTTTTTCACCGTTTTAGTACTTCACTCCCTGCACGAATCAGGTGAGGACTGTGATAAGCCTGTTTCCACGTAGCAAACTCCCAGTCGAAACCGCCTCTTAGCATGTTTAACACATCAGTTGTTGTCTGGTGGTCCGGAATACTTGATTTGACGGTGGCGTTGCAGAAGCTCGATTGTCGCTTTTGGACTGAAACCAGTGGTACTCGGGCAATTTTGTGCACTCGGGACCACCTCATATTGCCGTATTCATTATTCCTAAGCACCTTTTTTGTTTTGTTGTCCTCTTTTCCCGCCGGTTGTAGCGGAAAATCCTGGCAAGTTTTTTACCCCTGCTGTCTGTCTGTAAATCAAAGCAACGACACGACACTCTAAGTCACTTACTGCGTGATTCCGCACCAACGCTAAAACACCCCGGGTTTTCGTAGAACCTACTGATTCTTTTTTCTGTTTTTTCTGTAGTCCGTCTCAATTGAAGTGAAGGTTAAGGTACCTGTGAAAGGAATGAGGTCCTCGCTGCGGAGTTATTTGTTAGAAAATGCCAACTGACCGGTTACAGATTAGATTACAGGGAAGCAAAACTCTCCTATGCATCTTATTTACAAAAAACTGAATATCCATCCTTTCTTTGAACGCCTCTTCCTGAAGTTTTCCAGATATTCATTGACTGTTGCTCAAATGCAAGTAAATGCTACAAAGCGAGTCCACAAATTCCTCAGTAGATCTCACTTTTCAAGAGACGTGGAGCGGATTTGCGAGGAAACACTACTCGCATGCCCCATCAGTAGTATCCACCGTTGCACCATGATCGGGGAAATCGGTTTCACAGATTTGAAGGGTTTGATCCTAACGACCAGGGCCGTTTATTTGAATCAGAACCAGTCAATCAATGCATGCCTTCCCCGTCAGTAGCATCACCGTTACACCCGTACCTCGCTTGAATCAGTGGCTTTTGCGCAAAACATTGGGATGTATCCGTGTTTTCTGTGAGGGGGATTCGAGCGTGTCCATTTTCCTCACCGTTCCTGTGATTGTAGTTTGCTTTTCAGTGAATGGGCTTCCCCATTCGAGAAAATTTGATGACCTCTTTCGATGTAAACACCGTGTTTAAGAGAGGTGTTCCAACATTGTCAACACATCATACGTTACAGTGCAAAGTCCTGTTGTGGGACGCACAGACTGAACATTCCCATAAGGGGGTTCGAAGTTGTGGAACGCTATACGTATCTCGGAAGTTGCCCTTAGCTTTAGCGGTAGTGCGAGGAACGAAGTGAATGAACGAACCCCAAGGGCCACAATTGCCTTTTCCAATTTCCTCCATTTATGGCATCAAAAAAGACGGACTCAGAGGACGCGGATGTCAAACTGCGGTGCGAACCGTATCGTTGCGTTGCTTTGAGACTTAGCCACTTCGGGTGGAGGATCTTAGACATCTTCAGGTCTTTGACCACCGATGTTTCGGAACTGTAGCTGGAGTTTGTGCGACTATCTATCAAGCAACGCCAGATGCATCTTGGAAACTGTGGCCGCTAGGCGTGTGCCCTGGTGATTTTCCAGCGATACTCTTGCAGTGTACTCATTGGATTCTGAAAACCTTTAAGCTGAGGGTTACAGAGACACTTTGCAGGTGGTGAACTTTCAAAAACTGGCTTGTCTCCCGGAGACAGCGAACTGATACACGTACGTCACACAATGCCGTGGCCGGAGTTGAGTGGTGTTCTCCAAAATGAACCACAGTCTTGTGTTGAGGCGCTCCAGTGGTAGCTGATTGCCATATAGACTTGTGAGTAGTGACCTCTATCCAACACGACGTGAGCGCTTGTTCCGGAAGTTTGTATTGGCTGGGAGTAATTGATACTGTGCACATATCTCAAGAAGTCGCTCCCTATTGTGTTTGTACGGGGAGTGTTAGCCGAATGTCAGCTGAACAGCTCGTTTGCACAACTTATATGT